CAATTTTGTTTTTTAGTTTATTCTCTAAAAAAATCTGGAGTGGTATCTAAACAATCAGGCTTTTCATTCGATTGCAAATTAAGATCTCATATGTAAATTTTTTTTTGATACCTATCGTTATTTATTTGAATTTTAATGCCGCTCAGTCAATTTTAGTTTCAGAAAATACCTAAATATTTATCGAAAAAAAGCTAAACATCAAACTGTTTTTTAATTTTTTAAAAGTTTGTGTACACTACGGGTAAATGGACATATTCTTCTCTTCCAGGCAAAGAGCCAATCAGTTCACTTTTGTCTCTACCCCCTAAATAAACTTCAGCTTTTTATTTTGAGATTCTTAAAATATTTTGAGAACTGTTATAGATAATTTCTGGATTTTCAATTTCATTTCAAATAAAACTTCTTTTATTTAGTTAAAAGGGATTTAGTAATTATGATAATAAATAATTGAAAAAATTATATGATAAATCAAGCAAAAAGAGTGCTAATTTTTCAGCTTTTATTTTGATAACTTTTCTGTTAGAAGAATATTTCTTGCCAAAAAATATATTTTTACGGACATAAAATTAAAAGCACGTATTTTGTAACAATTATTAAATGATTGCATCTTTGAAAAGAGCATTTATTTTTTTAACATTTTGCCCATTTTTTAATTTACTAATGACGCAAAATGTTCTATGAATAAAATATTTTTCCTGTATTTGATATAAACGTAAGATAAAAAGAGATCAATAAGATAAAAAGCAATCAAAAAGATAAAACACAATCAATAAACCTCATGTTGGTAACTTTTTAGCAAAATTTACTTTTTATTAACATTTGAATTATTAATAAGAAATAAAATTTTACTAAATGGTTTGCTAATTCCGGCGATACGAATAATATCATGCATAAATTAAATAATATAATGTAATTATGGAAATCTACTGAGAATTAGCTTTGTTAAAAATGCTTTTCTATATAATACTGTGGAAAAAAATTCCTTTTTTCTTTTTGAATATAATATATAATTCATGGTTTTTGTAGAAGAAGTATTGAAGAATATCAAAATATTTATAGAGGAAGTATATAAGAAATGTTTACAGAAAAATAAGTTGTATTTCTTTTGCTAAGAACAAAATAGTTAAATACATACTGTTGAAAATAATAAATATGTTGGGATCTAGAAAAAATTAAAATTACAATATCTATGTTTCACAATATTCATCACAATATCAATGTTTCCCGTCAAAATTCTAAGATTGATAAAATTTACTTAATGCAAGAATATAGTAATGCCGATAATTAAATGATACTTAAATTACTAATAAGTTTTGATTTTTTTTCGTTTCCCTAGAATTCCTAATTACAAAATTTAAGAGAATTAAATAGCTGAACAAATTAAGACCCATTTGTAATTTTTTTTTCTACTAACTAAAAAAACACAAAACTAATAGTGAAAACAAAGAATGATCTTAATAATAAGTATTACTGCGTTAAAGATAAGAATTATTTGCATGATAATTCTATGCATCATAAGTGTTATTTTTCAAAATAATTAAAATTAAATTATGGTTTCCTCTTTTCAATTAACTAAAAACAAAAACGAAATTAAGATAAAAACAAACAAAAAAATCTTTATAATAAGGATTATTGCTTTAAAGATAAGTACTATGAGCATAATAGTTCTGTGGGTCATAAGTGTTATTTTTCTTAATAATTTCAATAAAATTATGGTTTAAAATAATTCAGTAGATGTAAAATTATTTCTCTTAACTTTGTAAAGAAAAGTTGTTTAGTATTGTTTATATGCTGAAATGTAAAAGTTGACCCACTCTTTTACACGTTAAGCAGCATTTAACACAAACTAATTAGCGTGTAACATGTAAAAGGAATTTAATTTTGGAGAATAACTTGTTAAATCACATAGATTATTTCACATAACTGCAGAAAAATATGAGCGAAATTTCAACTTTTTTGAAGTTAATGGAATAATATGTTAAGTAATCTTTAACGTCTTAATTTCCGAAAGAACCTTTAACCTTTTTAATTTCCGAAATCCTGAAACATGCCATAGGTAATCTACTCCAAATATAAAATATTGATTTAATCGACCAAATCTTAGAATAATACAGTTTTCAAAAGTAGAGATGCTTTGTTAAGAGTTTATCTGGCGTTTTTATACTTTTAAAAAACTAACTTTCGCAATTTCATTAAAAAAGTAACTTAACATGTTTAACCATAAAGCTCTTCAGTTGCAACATTTATTCTATTATTCCTTACAAATGAAAACAAGCAATGATCCCGGAAATAATCTTTAGGGAATATATTACGCTTTGGCAAAAAAGAAAAATGAATTTTATCACTTTATCTGGAAAAAAACATGTTTATTTACTAATTATTCTACTTACGTCGATATTTCCAATTACACCTTCTGTTAATTAATATGTTAGTGTTCTGATTAAGTTATAAATGATCGAGTTTAAAAGTATTCATGTTGTATCAACCAACAATCAATCATCTTTGACATTTTTTCAATATTATTTCACTTTTGCAATATGATGATGTAGTTAACCTGATTTAGTTAACTAACTTGATAGGTTTGTAAGAAAAATACAATTTTCAAGCAATATTTATGATGATATTATTGAGAAGTTTTTAGGTTAAATTTTTTTTAAAAATTTCTATTTTTGAGGAGTAAATTCATANACGTCGATATTTCCAATTACACCTTCTGTTAATTAATATGTTAGTGTTCTGATTAAGTTATAAATGATCGAGTTTAAAAGTATTCATGTTGTATCAACCAACAATCAATCATCTTTGACATTTTTTCAATATTATTTCACTTTTGCAATATGATGATGTAGTTAACCTGATTTAGTTAACTAACTTGATAGGTTTGTAAGAAAAATACAATTTTCAAGCAATATTTATGATGATATTATTGAGAAGTTTTTAGGTTAAATTTTTTTTTAAAATTTTCCTTTTCCTTTTTCCTTAATTTAAATTTTTAATAAATCAAAAGTAAATATCAAGGAAACTGAACAATGTTAAAATTTTTTTTACGGCATCATGATAAATTATATTAAATTACAGTTTTCTTTTATATTAGATGTTTACAAATAAAGGGTATTAAATTGAGTTTTTAATAAGTTGAATTAACCTACTCAATAAAAGATTTCAGAAGTTAATTTTTATTCGACAAAAATGTTTCTGGAAATCTCAGAGAACTTCATTCAATATCACGTTTTCGATACATCGAGGAACATTTTTTTATATATATTTTCGCATTGACGCCGATTTAGTTTAAGAGTATAACGTAACTACCACTACAGCTTTTAAATTTCCATTCACTAGTATATAAAGCATATTAACTTGATTCAATCCTCAACTCTTTTTCAAGTCACCACAGCTTTTCCGCACCATGGCAATGTGCCATTTTTCTCCCCACTTCAACTTTAGCATTATGCTTATCACCACAAGGTTTCACCTCAACGATCTTTACTTCATGATGAAGGGGCAAAGGGCCATCTTGGCCTCAGGGACCCCGACCAACCAACAAGACCAGACCAGACCAGACTTGATTCAATGAGGAAGTACCTTTTGGTAAATTAGGTTGACATTTTATTTTATAATCGTCGTTGAACAGCCGACCCAAATTTTGAGTTTACGGGTACTAATATTCAACTCCAGAGTCTTGCAATTTTGAACCCAATCCAGAAGGCAAGGGAACTATTGGATTAAATATTGGCAGAAATTTTACCTTCGTATAAGACTTTTTGATGGAACTATCCGCATTTGCGCTACATGGATAGGAGAATTACGAAAACATTCTCATGGTTAGCCTGACGGCAATGGAACACTAACCCATGATCCGTCTACCACAGATAATATTTTTTTCGTCATCACTGTGGTCGGCTCAAGCCGGGTGTAGAATTCGAATTTTAACCATCGCTGGGATTCGAACCAGGTTCACCTCATTGATAGGCGGGAGCTCCATCCCCTGAACCACCACGGCTCAACGGTTGTCATTGTCGCTTGTCTAGCCCCACATGGTTGACTCGCGGAGGTGATCTGAATACGCCTGCCTTGACCAACACGCCTACCTCGAATGAAACGCCCACTTTGATTGGAACACGTCTAGAACAATGATGATTCGCAGTGAACAGTTGACTTACTATTGAACAGTTGTTTATCACGTTGTTGCCACTCACTCTCGATTACACACGAGATTGCCAATTTCAACACCAGAGCAATTTTTACCAACAACCGTGATCCTAATACAGCTCTCACGACCAACGCTCAAAAGCCGATGATCTTATTACAGTTCTCCCAACACTTAATATATTCTTGGTATTTAATATTTATAGTGGTAGTTACACCACATTACTCCTCCTCCAGAATTTTATCTGTGACAGAATTCGATGAACAAATACCACTAGTTGATTTATGCTATTTTTTATTTTATTTATTTATATTTTTTTCCCCTCATAATATTTTTTCTTCATTTTTGTTTTATTTATATCATTTCGTTCACTATTATTTTTTCTTCATTTTTTTTGTTCATTATCCGGGAGACTTCTTTTACTTCACCGGATTTTTTGAGAGCTATATTTAAAGCAAATCAACTGTTTAATATGGACTATCCATCAATGTTGGAGAGATCATATCACGTCCGCAAGTTACCATTGAGGGATTTATTTATCGACTATGTCAACCTTCATCTGCCAAAAGGTCAGAAAGATCGAATCAAGTTAGCATGCTTTATGTACTAGTGAATTGGTATTTAATATTTACAGTGGTAGTTACACCACATAGGAAATGCCAGGTAATGGACTTTTACTTTAAAAACATCAGTTTAAGATGTACCAGTCAATGGCCTATACAATCCCTGCCAAGTGTATGCCACGCGTTTTAAAAATATATGCATGATACTAAGCATTACGTTTGATTAAAATTATTTGCAGTAACAAGTAGTCATACATAATGTTATCAGTTAAAAGAAAGTAAGTACTGACCACTGAATATGCCCACGTTTAGTTGTTCGCTGTCCAAGTCTTCCACAAAACGGCCCAAGTACTTGTTGAGGGCGTAAGCAACTACGCCTTCAAACATGGTGGTTCAAGGAATTCTTTTTAAGTCATTGAAAACCCTGAAACAGAAAATACGTTGCTTAAAAATGAAAACTACAGTTTTGAGGTACATATGGTAATTGAATAATTCAGTTACTTGTAAACAGCCGTTGTCATTTTGCATTGTGCTGCGTAAATTGGAAAATTATCCATCATATTTTAATTATTCTAACCTTTTTAGATTTATTTTAGTGAGCCTTTACCTAGGCTTTACCTTATTTACATACCTTAAGGTTAATTAGAAAATCTATGATCCATTGCTCAGTTATTCTAATATATTTCAGGCAGTTGGCAAAATATTGAGGGTATATTGTAAATAGCCTTATTCAAGGTTTATTGTAAAGATATGGAGCAAAATCAGTCTAATTTTGTCTGATTTACTAAATAGCCAATTCGAAAAAAATCATAAAATTGGAAAATGTGTTTCTAATAGTTTAGTTAGAGAGTTAGTTGAAAGCTTGTGCTCTATTTATATATTATTTAAAACATATCTGTTTCTTATTCTTTAGAATAATTGAGTAACTAAAAATTACCAAGATTATTACCAAAAACTACTAATTTCTAAAGATTATTGCATGCAAAAAATTTCAATTAAATTTTTTTTATTTTACTTAAATTTTTTAGTGTTAAATTTTTTTATAATTAATAAAAAAAATTTTATTTACCTAATGCAAAATGTGTAAAAAATCTGTCGAGTTTGCTGGAATTTAGTTTTTTAAAAATTTTGAAACGTAAAGATCTAAATATTTTGGTATTGTACCTTCGAATGTTTACAAAGGCCCTAAAATACACCTCTGTTTTGCAATTAAAAATGTACTTCCATGATTCTATAGGCATTAATCAGTGCGCTTAGGCTCCAAGTGGAACGTAGGTCCAAGCTTAGTCATTATCATTTCAAAACTATAATTTAAAATCAATGCGGGAGTTAAAATTTTAAATAACCAACATTTACATTGCAAACTAATAAATATTTTTATTCATCACAAAACTAACATTTTATCAATTTCACATAAAAATTCATTGAATGATAATCAGGTGCAAGATACCAACCAATTAACTTGCAGAAAATCAGTAAATGTAAAAAATACAAAAAAATTCAATACATACTTCAATCCAGCATTTTCATTTACCTGACGTTGAAAAATTTTAAGATACCATATGAACCGACAACATTTATAAAAGTTAATAAGTTTTATCTTATCTTAAAGTCAATATGGAAGGGTTTTTCCATAGATAAAACAAAACGTAATTATTTACTATATTTTTTTTTCAGTTATAGTTGTTTTTATATCAATGAAACATTTTTATACTTATTTTCTCTCTTAAACATGTAATAAAAGATACCGTACGAATATTAAAAGTAAATTTGTTTTAATAAATTCAAGTTTATTATTATCACGAATATTAAACTCGTTTCACAGTTTTTAAATATAAGCCAGAATTTAAATTGACTGATTTTGTTTATTTGATTAATTGATTATTATTTGAATTTTTTTTGTTCCATTTTTACTCATCTTAAGTTCATTCATCATGGAAAAAACAAACTTTCCGACTTAAAATATTATTTAAAAATAAAAAAAATTGCACTTAAAAATAATATACAATTAAATAACAAATACTTAAATAACTTTTAAATAACAAATACTTAAATAACTTTTAAATAACAAAATAATAAATGCTTAAATTAAAAAAAGGCATCAATTTAAAAATATAAATAGACAAAAAAATTATGTCGCAAATTATAAAAATAATTTTTGCAAATTTTAAACATTTTCAACAAAAGATAAGCTTATTTCCTAAAACTTCAACTACTACTATTGATATTTATGTAAAAGTTTTAAATTCAAAATAGAAAGAAAACATAAAATTGTTTATATAAGATATTTTTCACATACACATTTAGAAATTTAGGGTGCATTAAATTTGCTGGTTCTTTAATATGATCCAAAGAGGAACCCTATCATGGTACTTTTGATTGCACTATACTGTGGTTCAATTTGTTCGAAAATATGGTTCCTCCTAACACCTTATTAAAGTTACAGCATGTTTGCTCCGCATTATAATTTATAGTACCAATATTATGATTTACATTTCAGCCGATTTTTATCAGAAGATAAATTTTAGACGAAAATCAATTTTCGTAAAATGTATGCAATTAACAGCAATCTAATGCAAATACCTCACAGAAATTAAAGTTTTTGTCTAATTTTTGCATATAAATTTGGACTTTATTTTATGTAGCATATTTACTCATTTACAACGAAAATAATTAATTTTTATAATATAAAATAATTAATTTTTATCTATTTTAGTTTGGTTCTGGAGGTACTAATATGACAAATAAGTAATTGAAAAAGCCAGGAATAGGAGATCTATAGGATTTATGCAAAAAAACTAAGAAATAAAAATTTTTTGATTGTATGAATTTCAATTTTTAATTTGTTTTTAATTCAAATAGATGTAGCTTTAAAATGTTAAATTGATTAATGACTTTTTTCATGTAAATACAATTTAAGCTTAAAAAATTTAGTTGTTTTATAACATACCTATTTATTCCTATAAGGACATGTCAATTTATTATATTTGATTGAAAAACCATCATCACTACACAAGTCGCGTAAATGATTTATTTCGAAAATAACTTCACTCTTTTTTTAATGAGTATTTTTTATACGATTTTTATAGTGTTAAATTCAAAGCATTCATATTTTAAAATATATTTTTATTTAGTTATAAACTATAAAATTTTAAAACTGATTTACGAAAAAAAATTTTTTTTTCTCTTTTCAGTGTAAATTTTAGTGTCACAATAACTGTGAAAACCGTTTTACTAGTTCGTTTCATAAAAGATTGTTATCTAATCTGATAAAAATATAATATTATCTAAAGTAACTAACGTACGATAATGATATCCAAAGCTTTTAAAAATATTTCATGCACTCACTAGTAAGCAATCATGAAATTTTATCGCAAAATTTTTGTTTGCAGTAACAAGATGTTTAAAATGCCATCAAAAGCAATAATTTTAAAATAATAACAAAATGTTTCATAAATTTTGTAAAAATGTTCGGGTATGGGAATTATAACTTTAATAATTTAATAGTATAGCATAATAATTCAGTAAAGAAACTATAATAATTTAATACAAATAATAATTTACTACATTTATTAACACAATTTCATTTTTTAGGAAGCACTAATTTTAGACGCTTCGAAACGTATGCATTGTTTTACTATTTAATGTATAAATATCTAATGAAATTGAAGTTATAGAGAATTTTATTTTTAATAATGGAGTTAGATTTAGGTAAAATTTTCTTATTACATTTTTTTAAATGCCATTAGTATAGAAAAATTTACAAAATAAAATAGCTGAATTTTCTGTTTTTTATACTTTAAATTAATTATTTTTCATTCATAAAACTTCTACTGTTGATTGTGACTCTTAATTTATTAGTAATAAGATTCGAAAGTAAGAGAATTCGTAAATTTACAGATTACTTAACATTGAAATTAGGAGATAATGTTTTTATGACTTTTAAATCAACCATTTCTAGTTAATTTTAAAGTTCTTAAAGACAGAACTCAGCGTTTAAATATGTAGTAATAAAATTAATCACATTTTCTTCTTTCTTTTTTTAAAAAAAAAAAACAATGTTTATTAAACGTAGCAATTTACAAGTTTGTGTAAGGAAAGTTTTTATTTAATGGTCTGTATACTAATATCTATTTAATTATAACTAAATAACATATCTGTACAATAATAATTCGTTCCTTGTTAATAATTAAATATTAATTTCTCTAATTTCAAATATATGTACAGCTCAAATAAATTTTAAAATGTACATTTTACAAACAAATGCTCAATTCAAAAGATCTGTTTAGGAAAAATAGTTTAAAAATGCATAAATAAATGTTTAGCTAAAATACAGTGGATTTAAAATGCGGTATATCAAGTTATGTTTAAGCAATAAAAGAATTACTTACTATATGTTTAAATTGAATAAAAACGTTGAAAAGCGGATTTAAATGTTAGTACAAATGGTTCAATTATTTTAACTTGCTTTACTATAAAAAATTCAAGATCAAGGTACTGCAAAAGATACGGGGTATCAGGGTGCCTTCACTTTTTACTGCAAAATCCACTTTTACCGTAAAGTTCTATGGAACAAAAATCTGATACACCGTAATTTTCATAGTATAATTTTTGTATCACTGAATTCATAAGGTAAAAGTCATATGGTAATGGCTCTCACCGGATATCCGGATGTTCTGGTCTTCATAATTATAGTTCTTATTTTGCCACATATTTAGTAAACATACAAAACTAAAAACATTTAACTGAGTAAAGGGTTTTTATGCCAGATCTAAGCTTTCATAAGAAATTAACAAATTTTACCACAATCATAAAATTTTAACGCATATGATAAAACCGCATTTCTTTGTTTATTTTGAAAAAGTCATTACCAAAGTGCTTTAACAAAAATTGCCGTTCTTTTAGTTATTTCCATGGATCCAGAAACACTGTAAATTTTAAAATATTCTGGTAATTTTGAGCACTCTTGTTTTTTTCTCTATATGAGTCAAAGTTTAAAGTAAAAGCTCATTGGTTCAGAAAAATATTTAGTGTTATATTTAACTCATTTTTTATAAAAATATATTTTCTTTTCTGTGCCTAAATAAAACATCCGTAAGAAAAGTAATGGTCATATTAGATTAAAAAATATACATATGTGTCTATACTACTATCATCGATACAAAAGTATTTTGAATCTCATCTAATATAACTTCTCCCAAATAAGTTACCCCCGAAATTTAGTTTCTTANAATGAAATTGAAGTTATAGATAATTTTATTTTTAATAATGGAGTTAGATTTTGGTGAAATTTTCTTATTACATTTTTTTAAATGCCATTAGTAGAAAAAAATTTACAAAATGAAATGTTTGAATTATCCATTTTTTATACTTTAAATTAATTATTTTTTATTCATATGTACTGTTGATTGTGACTTTTAATTTATTGGTAATAAAATTCGAAAGTAAAAGAATTCGCAAATTTACAGATGACTTAACATTGAAATTAGGGGAGAATGTTTTTATGACTTTTAAATCAACCATTTCTAGTTAATTTTAAAGTTTTTAAAGACAAAACTCAGCGTTTAAATATGTAGTAATAAATTAATCACATTTTTTTCCTCTTTTTTTTTAGAAAAAAACATTGTTTATTAAGAGTAGCAATTTACAAGTTAGTGTAAGGAAAGTTTTAGTTAATGGTCTATTATCTATTTAACTATAAATAAATTACATATCTATACAATAATAATTTATATGAATATATCATATTCATTAATATGTCTTCCATATTCTAAAATATTAATTTCGCTAATTTCAAATATTCAATCAAATTTTAAAATGTGCATTTTACAAACAAATAAATGCTTAATTCAAAAGATTTGTAAAATAGATTAAAAATGTATGAATAAATCTAGCTTAAATAAATTGGATTTAGAATACCGTATATAAAGTTATGTTTATGTTTATGCAACATAAGAATTATTTACTTCATGTTTAAATTGAATAAAAACGTTGAAATGCGGATTTAAATGTTAGTACAAATGGTTCAATTATTTTAACTTTCTTTACTATAAAAAAATTTAGGATCAAGATACGGCAAAAAATACAGGCTATCAGGGAGCCTGCACTTTTTACTGTAAAATCCACTTTTACCGTAAAGTTTAACAGAACAAAAATCTGTATACCGTAATTTTCGTAGTATAATTTTTATATCACTGAATTCATATGGCAATGGTTTACCGGAGACTCTGGTCTTCATAATTATAGTTCTTATTTGCCACATATTTAGTAAACATACAGAACTAAAAACACTTAACCGAGTAAAGGGCTTTTATGCCAGTTTTAAGTTTTCATAAAAAAATTAACAAATTTTAACACAATTATCAAATTTTAACGCATATGATAAAACTACATTTTTTTGTTTATTTTGTAAAAGTCATTACCAAAGTGCTTTAGCAAAAATTGCCGTGCTTTTAGTTATTTCCATGGAACCAGAAACACTGTAAATTTTACCATATTCTGGTAATTTTGACCATGCTTGTTTTTTTTCAGTATAGGAGCCAAACCTTAAAGTAAAAGCTCATTGGTTCAGAAAAATATTTAGTGTTATATTTAACTCATTTTTTATAAAAAGATATTCTTTCTCTGTACTTGAATGAAACATCCGTAAGAAGAGTAAAGGTCATATTAGATTAAAAAATATACATATATGTTTATACTACTATCATCGATATAAAAGTATTTTGAATCTCATCTAATGTAACTTCTTCCAAATAAGTTACCCCCGAAATTTAGTTTCTTAAAGTTACCTATTGAACACAGTTTTGTACAAATGAAAATATATACTATAAGTTTTTTTAATTAATTTTGTAATGGTATTTTCGTGTAAAAATATAAAATCTTATGTTCAGCTCATGTTATAGGTCTATAGTTTTCCGCTAATAGAAAGAGAATATTTACATGAATATTATGCCATATTTTAACATTAAACGGTAGATAATCTATGACCACTAGCATGATTTTAAGGATAAAGAAAGAATAAAATATTTTCTCTCATCAGTTTTCATGTGTAATAACTTGGAGAGGTAATTAATGAGTGAACTATCTAGAATTCAAAATTTAAAAAGTAAATATGTATGTACATATGATGCTATTTTTAACCTTGAACGGATAATAAAATATGACCACCAGCATGATTGTAGAATAAAGAAAAAATAAAATATTTTCTATCGTTAGTATTTTGTGCAGTAATTTATAGAGGGAATTAGTGAATTTTTTATACTACTTGGAACTCAAAATTAAAAAGTAAATATTTACATATATGTGATGCTATTTTTTTTATATGGAACGGTAAATAAAATATGCACACCAGCATGATTCTAGAATAAAAAAGGGACAGAATATTTTCCATGATCTGTTTTCTTGCGAATTAACTTGGAAAGGTCATTAATGAGTATTTCTTACTATTTAGAATTTCACATTTGAAGTAAATAAGTTGATATATATGTAACCATTTTTTAACCTTAAACGGAAAATAAAATATGACAACTAGAATGATTGTAGAATAAAGAAAGAATAAAGTATTTTCCATCATCAGTATTTTGCGCAATAATTTGGAGAAGTAATTAATGAGTGTTTCAGACTGTTTGGAACTTAAAATTTAAAAGTCAATATTTACATACATATGATGTCATTTTTTAACATCGAACGGTAAATGAAATATGACCACCAGCATGATTCTAGAACAAAAAAAGAATAAAATATTTTCCATCATCAGTTTTCTTGCGCAATAACTTGGAGAGGTAATTAATGTGTGTTCCATACTATTTAGAATTTAAAAGTAAATCTTGTTGTTATCTCTTTGTTTTGTTAAGAGACTTATCTATTTAGCAAATAAAATGACCACGACTTTGTTTTAAACACAAAATATTTAGCTGAGAAAGTAAACGGTCATACACAAGACAAACCTTTCTCAAAACCTCCTGTTTTATCTCTATTTCTAATCGATAAATATTTCTTTAATCTTTCACCACATGTTTCGTCTTATTATACAGATAACGAACAGTCTGATTTAAACTTTTAAGAGTATAAACTTACCGAAAAATATGGAAGATATCTTCAGATTATGTGTGGTGAAAAATGACGGAATGGGTTTTTCTCATTGTGCCCCGGTGAGTGGGGGTGCCCTGGTGTTTCGGATGGCGGTCCGGCGCCAGGAAAAATAGCGGGGGCGCTGCGGTGTCACGTGATGACTGCGGCAGGCCCCTCTGAAAAGAGCGACACCTGGAGAAGGGGTGGTGAAACCTGTGGATGCGCGCAGTTTAAAATGCGCAGGTGAGAGATGGTCTACAAAGAGTTCATGCTGGTTAAAATTGTTTCATAAACAAATAATAGCATATTTAATGTTTCATGACATTTTAAAATCTTTGTATAACTTTAATTGGTTGCTTAAGATCAAATAATGCAGAATTTAAAATAAAAACGAAATAATTCATAATTCATTTTTAAATTTATTTTCTACTGCACGCCATATGCGAGTTTCTTTTTTTTTTTTTTTTTTTTTTTTTTTTTTTTTTTTTTTTTTTNTTTTTTTTTTTTTTTGTCAAATGAAACAAAGTGACTGTTTATAATGAAGACTCTATTTTGTTTATATTTGTTTTCAATAAACTCTCCAATGCTTATGATAAACTCTTTTATTTTCTTCTTTTTTATATAAATTCATAGTTTAAGCTTTATAGCTACTTATTCAGTTTATAAGAAACAACAACTTTCAAACGATAGTAATATCATAATGTATATTATGTAAATTCTAACAACTGGAATATATTTATAAAAAACTGTAAAATATTTGTTTTCATAAAAAAGTTTAAATTAAACACACTCTCAGAAAAATTGGTTCTATATTGAACCATAATAACCCTGCAATTATACAGAGTTGGTCAAAAATGTAATCGATTAAGTTTTTTGATTACAGTAATCAATTACTTGTAATCATGATTACAATTTTCAAAAATTTTTGATTACAGCTGTAATCATGATTACAATTTTGATTACAGTAATCAATTACTTGTAATCATGATTACAAGTAATTGCGATTACAAGTAATCACAACAAAAACGATTACAAGTAATTATGATTACAAGTAATCAAAATATATGATTACATGTAATTTGATTACATGTAATTTGATTACATGTAATTATGATTACATGTAATCTAATTACACGATTACAAGACTATTGTATTCTTATAAATGATTATATTTTACAGTAGATAGTAGAATGTATTTTATAATGATACATTTTGCACGTATTAACATGTACTGCATTTTGTACGTATTTGTATACGTACAAATGAATGTAACTGAAATGTATGTACATATGATTTTATCTAGTGCATATGTTCAGACATTTTAGTATCACACACATGTACATACACTTATATTGTAGGTATAAAATATATGTACGTATGTATATAGATAATAATTACGTATGTATGTGCAAACAATGTAGGCATGTACATTTATACACAATGAATATATGCATTTTATGCAAATATTTGTGTATGTAAAATGTATATCTATGTTCATGTACGCATGTATATACAAGTACTTGTGTTTGTACGAACATACATACATTGTCTGTACAATGTATGTCCCATGCATGTATGTGCAATTTATTTATGAACAGTACAATATATGTATGCATGTACAATATAGGTATATCTGTAGGATGTACAATATATGTATGTATACATGTACATGATATGCATGTCCAGTGTATTTATGTACATGTACATAATATGTTCATGCTCAATGTAAGTATCCAAATATGCATAATACATTTGTGAACTATTGTACGTACATTGGGCGTATTTATATTTCACATATATTCATACATGCATTCGACATGCATAACGTACGTACATACACACATTTGAGATGCATATATTGTACAGATGTATATACATATAGCGTACAGATGTATATACATATAGCGTACAGATGTATATTCATATAATGTACATATGATGAAATGAACATATAATGTTCATATAATGTACATATGTGTGTACATATACAGTACGTATGTGCATAAATATATTGGGCATAATTCTTTCGTACAAATTTTACATGTGTACATGCATGCTATCCCTATCTATGCATATGGTGCAATGTATATATGTACAATGAATGTATCCACACATGTACAATACACGTATGTTCCATGTATGCATATCCATATGTACTATATATGCACGTACAATACATGAATGTATGTACATACATTGTACATGCGTACATACATTACACGTATACATATGTACATTACATTTATGTCTAAATATGTGTACAATGCAATAAATAAAATGCATGTAAGTTAACTTTTAATGACTCAAGCAAGTTAAATGACAAAATCAAACGATATTTAAATTTAGTTTTCAGCTTTAATTGTTCTATATCATTTTGAAATTCTCTGAATAAAAAATTATTTTCAGGTATTTTCATGAAATGTTTGACAATACAGATTTATTTTTTTTATAACATAATGCATGATTCATAGAAATTTTTTAAATGGTAAGAAAAACGGTAAATTTTATGTGTGGAATTAATATTTAGAAATTCCAAATAAAATTATCGTTTGCTTTCTAAAAAATATGAGGTCGAGTTTCATATACCTTAGAATAATTTTAAAACAAATTTTAATAACTTTACTCATATAAATTTTTTTAATGTATGCACAATGTATGTGTATATTGTAATTACATATATTTAAATGTACGCACGTATTTGTACATTACTTGTAATTATGTACATGTATACGTTGTATGCACATGCATACATTGTGCATATAACTATTTTTTTGTACATCCATGCATTACATGCGCATAAGTATTAACAAAGTATGTAGTTATACAAGTACATACGTAAGTTGTACATAAGTACATACTTTGCGTGCACATATATCGATGTACATATAAATATGCATGTATACATGTACGCATTTTATTTACGCAACTATGTGCATATATTGTACCTTTAAATAACATTTTTACATATTGTACGCAAATACGTACAATTTTATATACAAACGTACATTGTATATACGTGCTATTATCGTAAATTTATACAATATATGCACTTAAGTACATAAAAGCATGCAAACGCATAAACATTATTTTCATATACGTTCATACATACATTGTCTATGTATACAAAGATACAAAACATTGCCTTTTTGTACAAACTAACATACATGCGTACATGTATCATAAATGCATAATTATATGTACTAAGCATATGCGCATTGCATTAAGTATATTACAATATAATTATGAATATTGTACGTACAAACAACGTTTGTGCATACATTGTATGTATAGGAATCGCAAATTGTACGTTCATGCGTGCGTACATTCTATGTACATAAAAATATGTAAACACATGAATACTTACATAAAAAATTTGACTATAGTATACAATCGTAATAACTTGTAATCGTATAGTTTGATTACAAGTAATCACAATTACATGTAATCAAATTACATGTAATCATGATTACATGTAATCATATATTTTGATTACTTGTAATCATAATTACTTGTAATCGTTTTTGTTGTGATTACTTGTAATCGCAATTACTTGTAATCATGATTACAAGTAATTGATTACTGTAATCAAAATTGTAATCATGATTACAGCTGTAATCAAAATTTTTTGAAAGTTGTAATCACGATTACAAGTAATTGATTACTTGTAATCGTGATTACAAGTAATTGATTACATAGCTGTAATTATCTGTAATCAATTACAGTTGTAATCGATTACTGTAATCAACGGCCAACTCTGTAATTATACCAGTGTGGTCTATTGTCTAGGACCAGTCTAATATTATTAAAAAATAATATCGAAACATGAATAGTATTGTAATTTTATGTATACAATATCCTATAATCTATCCGTTAAATAGCTTAAAACTAGATACAATAAATGTAGAAACACTTGAGCACATTAGTACTGTTACATGTAAAAGTATAAAATAGTTAAATAGTTGTAATTGAAACCAATTTTTAGTAAAATAATGATAATTGACTTACGATTGAATTGAAATGATTTAAACAATGTACTGTTATATGTAAAAGTATAAAATAGTTAAATAGTTGTAATTAAAACCATTTTTAGTAAAAAAAATAATAATTGACTTAGATTGAATTGAAACTATTTAAACAATGTAGTGTTATATGTAAAAGTATTAAATAGTTAAATAGTTGTAATTAAAACCATTTTTTAGTAAAAAAAAATAATAATTGACTTAGATTGAATTGAAACTATTTAAACAATGTAGTGTTATATGTAAAAGTATTAAATAGTAAAATAGTTGTAATTGAAGCCAATTTTTAGCAAAAAAAAAATATTATAATTGACTTACGATTGAATTGAAACGATTTAAAAAACCCGCATTTTTTGCTTTATGATATGAAGTGTTGTGAAACGAATTTTAACACATTTTATACTCGTTTTTCTCAGTCGTTCAACATACGCAAAAAATACAACTGCATAATATTAAACTGTTTTAAAATATGTAAAAATAAGTAAATTTTGCCCAATTGCTTTGAAAACGGTAAAATATTGAATAAAAATTTTAAGCTTAACATCTTCTACCAAAAATAAATAAATAAAAACTAAAGAAAGTTTAAAATAATGCCAACTACACTGTAAAATTTTACGGTTATTGCATTTTAATTATTTTAAGATTATAGTAAAAACGAATGTCTTGTAATAAATGTTATAATTAATTATTCGGGTTTTTTCCAAATGAAATTTATGGCAAAAGAAAATTTTCTTACATAAAATGGCTGACGCCGGAAAATTTTATTTTTCTTTAAAATAACAAGATTTTTTTATTCTAATTGTTTCTATCAGACTGATTGTAACTTAACTAACTTTTGGGGTTTCTTTTACTTTTGTTAGTTTACTCCATTGGCTACACTGTCTTTTTCCCGTGCCTATTTTCTATTATGTCTGAAATCTTTTCTTTCCAAATTGTCTTTGGAGTTTGGTTCAAACTCCTAAAATAACATTACTCCCGTGATAAATTTTTCTTCTCTAGATGAACTTTTCCAGCTTCACAAAACAAATAAGTAGTAAAACAAATATTTAATTCTTATTTTCGCATCGAAGAAATGATTCTGATTGTAAATATAAAAGAATATCAGGGGAATAAGAATATAA